GAATTCCCCCCTTCCCCCCCTCTCAACATAGTTGTTTCCAAAGGGACTGCAGGTGCCAAATACAGTGATCATTGGCATCACAGATTCTATTAGGGTGTAGTACGTGTGCTGCAAGCTGCCTAAGGGTCAACAGCTCCTGATATTTCTCAGGTTTGACTCTCACATGCTCAGGTATGTTTGGATTCAGCTTCTCCTAGGTGGGTAGCCAGCTACTGCTAACGAGCCTTCTTCCCAGAAACTTCCCAGTTCAGCCAGATCCAATGTCTACGCTACACTTGAGTTGGTTGTCTGAGGCTGTCAGAGACACATGCCGTTAGAGGCACTTTCAGTAATTACAACCTTGAATTGTCAGTTATATATATAACAGGCATTGCATTATTTTTAGCAATCCCCATGCACTCTGGCTCGTGTTACTTTTCTTTTTGCTTTGGTTTCTTGATTTAAAAGAAAATCATTGATTAAAATACCAAATTCAAATTTTCAGAATCCATTTAAATTCAAATTGATACCTAAAAGCTGTTTACAAAGCATTTAACTATCCCATGAGATGCTCATTTAAGCGTTCATCTTCCCTTTTGACACTACAGCAGCTTCTGTATATTTAGCTAAAAACTCATTTTATTTCATATTTTAATTTTGGCCTAATTTCTTTTGTCCTCTTCTGTTTTTTTTTAAAGTCTTTATCAGTGTTGCTGAAGAGCCTTTCTTGGGCTGTCTTGATTTTTCTTTCTTTAGTTATTCCTACTTGTCCTTCATTGACTTTGTCACATTAATCAAATACAATTAAAAATTAATACTTTTTAAAAATGTATGTATTTTTTCATTTTTTTTTCAGGATGACTTATTGGCAGAGTTAGAAGAACTAGAACAGGAAGAGTTAGACAGACAGCTATTGGATGTGGAAGGAACAGAACATTTGCCAAGTGTTCCTACTGCTGAACCATCAGATTCAAGAAAGGCAGCACCAGCCAGAAGTAAGACTTACATTTCAATTCACATGTACAGATACAGTAACATACAAATAGCATTGCCTTCCTGAATGTCAAAGTGCTTTATTATTCTGAAATTTGTTTTGTTTTACAAGTTTTGTAAATTTCTTTAAAAATGAAGATTATTACAACCTAGCATAAATCTCCTACAGGATAGCAGGGTTGGATCTCGGGGCCATCATGATGACACGCCTACACTTTTTAGTATTGGACATGCCCTCAAAACCTGCTGCAGGACTTCAGGCAGTGTTTGATCAAGGGTTAGTCAAGATGACTGTCTGAAGTGCATACCACATGACGAGGCACAACAATATTTTAAAAAATGTAGTGAATCCATTTAAAATTTTGTATGCTGCTATGTGCAACTATCAGGGTGTCTGTGGCCTCCTGAAATTCCAGGATATAGATTTCTAGATCTACAAATCTTGGCTTCAGAAATTGTCCATCAGTGACACTAAAGCTTTTTGTTGTCATTATAAAAAGAAACAACAAATTATCATTTCAAACATTGGTAAAGCAGCACTTAAATCGCATCTGAAATCTGATAAGCACAAGCGAGTCAAGTAACTCAGATGGCTGCTGTATTTGTCAAAAGGGCTGCCACAGTCTCAGTGACTGTCACTTGTACTACACTGACAGCTAAGCCAGTAACCCAACAAATTCATAGTTTTATATTACTGCTAAGAAGGCAGTCAACACAAAGTCTTTTGAGCACCTTAAAGGCTGTTTGCCAAAATTGAAATCTTCATCTCAATTGCAAAGGTTTTGCAACCTTTTCTAAAAAAAATATCAATCAGATGCACTACTGTTGGTTGCCCTTTAATGCTTTATGGCCCAAGACTTCTTTAGCATGCTGCAGTCATTTTAGCAAAGACTTATAACACCAGCTGTTTTCAAAGAATGTACTTATGTTGCAGCACTGCTTATTGTAGATTTGACAGACATCAAAAATCTTCTAAATTAAAACTAAAGTCAGTGCTAGTGATGTTTTAAATTTCTAGATGGAAAGCAGAAAGTTTCTACTGACAACAGTTCTCAAACTCGTTGAAAAATCTTCATTAAAGAATGCTATTTGCCAGAGTTTAAAATGGCAAAAGCCCAAATACCCTTTGCAAGATTTTGATAGCTCCTTAAATGATTTATATACCACTTTGAGCATCTTGGTTCTGCTTGGCCTTATCAGTGCAGATGACTGTGATAGTATTAAATCTGAATTTACACAATTACACATTTCCATTTTAACTAATAGACTGATAGACTGGATAATTTCTATAGCCAGCTTGTGAGCACTTAATTTTCTAAACTATGGACAGTGATGACAGGAATGTATACCATAAGTTTGGTAATTTAATTTAATTATTAAACCTACATTAATCAACTTTGACTATTGCTATGTAATATTTTGGCGCGAATTTTATACCTGGAATTTCAAAATTTCTCTTGGAAAACTCCTGGAATTTCATATTGACTTTGGTGCAGAAACCCTCAACTATTATTTCTTCACATTTTTGTTTTGTGGTCTGTCGTCTTTCTTAGAATCTGGAGTAAGAATCTAGCTAGACCTCATTAAAACATGTGTTTGCCTTTTGTTTCTTTGTAGGTCAACAGAAAGATGACGACGATGAGGCCATGCGGGAACTGGAGATGTGGGCGTCCTAGAGCTGTGCAGGTCAGGACCTAATCTTAATGTCAACTAAATGCTGTGGTAAAAGAACCCTGAGAGGAATGCAAATAATGTTATATCTTAATACATGTGTATCATATCATATGTGATGCTTTAGTCTTTTTTTTTTTTTCTTACATGGGCCAAACAGACGTCTCTTTGTTTTCTTTGTTTTCTCTTTTGCATTTAACGCTACAAGTTTACTAACTGTTTTAAGCAGTGTACAAAAAGCTATGTCATTGCTTCATAATGAAGAAAATAAGTTGTCATAGCAATGATAGTGGGGCCCTTAAGGAAGGGGGTGGGGGGAGGCAGTGTTTATTCCATTTTTAGCTACACAAGGGTTTTCGTGAATGCAAATTGTGATAATACTAAAATCAAGTTTATGTATTAGATATCAGTAATACATGTTTTTACATCTCAAAATTAATTTTTTTAATATGTAAAATCGTGATCTCTTGAGTATCATATAGATTAGAAGCTGTTAATCAGTTATTTCTGTCAAGTAACCATTACCAACTATTTCTTTAGAAATTATACATTAGTCACAAACCAGTCAAAAACCATTTGAACTACAATGCAGTTGTTTGTTTTGTATAAATGTCTTAAAAACCATAAGTGTAATTACATCTTTTTTTTTAAAATTTATGTTATACTAGATCAACTTTTGAATATTATTGACAGTTCGCTTTTTCAATGTCTGAGCATTTTAAATTGAAATAAATTTTCAGTTTCACATCTTGATTGCTTAAATTATTTCAATTTCAGTCAGGAGTTAGGGTTTAAGAAAGAAAAAAAAAAAACATCCTTTGAAAAGTACAAAGAAATTTTACCTTGTCTACGAAGTTTAATGTTCAACTATTAATAATTCACTGATTTTTATCACAAAAGGTCATCACCATTGTTTTTGATAGAGATTGTACATTTTCTTTTGAGATACCTATCATATTATTCATTGAAGATTTTTGTTTAGAGAAAAAATTAAATTATGCAAATTTTATTCCTATTTTTATTTATTACAAAATGATGTTGGTTGTTATTGATCTTTTTTAAAAAAAAATTACTTGTCTGTCTTATTTTTAAATTTAGACAAATGTTTTTCTGATTACAGTGCATCCTAGACTCTCTAAGGCTTTACCCTCTTTCTGACCCAAATGTTTTAGTTATTTCTAAGATCTCCATTTAAATCTGTCTCCAATAACAGTTGGTGGCAGTTTAAAAAAAATTAATCAAAGTGAAATGGAATTGTTTGAAAAGCAGATAATGATTAGAAAGAGTTTAACTTGGACTTTGCAGCATAAAAAAAGTAAAAAATAGTTTTATGTCTTGCTGGAAGACTCTTTGAAGCTTTTAAAAAATTATTTGTACAAAAATAATTCACAGGAATTTTCAGTAAGACATAATCAATATTTAGCAAGTTCCTCCTCTCAGGCCTTGCGATCTATGGGGCAGATGATGTAATGATCACCTGTTTCTGTGTCCCACAGTTAACAAGGGTGTTATGTGGCCAGCTCAATGACCGCCTTTATTTTTCCCCAACTATTGTCATGTACCCATTAGAGGTAGATGGACTCAGAAGTGCTGTAAAGATCCCGAAATTAAAAATCCCAAGATTCAAATTTGTAACACCTTTGTTTGGAAGCCAAATGCTTAACCACTCAGCCACTGCGCCTCCAATCAATACTAAACTTGTAGAAAATTTTCTTATTTTTATCCCTCTTTGAAAACTGCTGCATGCAATGAATTTGTCCACATCCAGCGTCCAATGTGTTGTATGTTGGCTAGGACAGGGGGTCGGCTTAGCTGGTCTAGGCTTTGTGTGTTTCATGATTGGAAAGAACTTGTGTGCATTCTGTTTGAGAAATGATTTTATAATTCACACCAGGCTTTGAATGAAAGTTGCGCTGTTGTACTTAGTCTCTTTTCAAACTATACATCATTTTGTATTATCTAGCTCAGCGGTTCTCAACCTTTTAAGCCAGGTGACCCCTTATTACAATCCCCCACTCTGCCGCAACCCCCTCCACACACACACATACAGCAACAGAAGAATAGGCAAAAACAATCCATATTTTCGATGGTCTTAGGCGACCCCTGAAAAATGGTCATTCGACCCCCAAGGGGGGTTGTGACCCACATGTTGAGAACTCCTGATCTAGCTGAACATGTATCTTCTGTTGTGTTAAAAGAATAATGAAAGACTTTCATACTGACATTGCTTTCTAGTTGATCATGCTAAATTGACGTGATTGTATTCAATTTCTGTTGTACTGGGTTCATTCAGAGAGTCACTCTGTATGAACTTGTTTCTTGTTTGTTTGTATATATAAATATATGGACGCTGGTGGCTGGCTACAAGACTAATGTCCAATAATATGTCAATGTTTTAGAATATTGTTCAATTCGTCTTACAGTCAGGACTAGGGTATAAGGCATGGTGACTCAGTGATGATACAATCCTTTGGATATTTGGTCAGAATAAGAGTTGGCAGCAGCTCAATTATACCATATTAAAATGGCATGCTGGATAAATTCTAATTGTTTCCCCTGAGTTACTCAGGTCTGTGAGACTGTTGAATGCTCTCTATTTTCTCACTAACACTTTGATTCACTTCTAAAGTAGTTCTTATTTTTCTTCTCTATTTTTGTAGTGATAGAAAAGTGATTATTAAGATGTTTAACGATCCTTAGGTTTCAGTATACAGATTTAGATATGGAAATATAACATTTGATAAGGGAGTCCACTCCTAAGTTTTCTTTGTTTTGTTTTTATAACCATTGTGATGAAAATGTGTAAACTCTTCATGATTTCTCTCCATTCTTTATGTATATTATGTAATTAAACAAAATTGAAGTCATGCATTTTGTTTTAATAGATCCTTTTTTTTTTTTTTTAAGCATAGATTTTAGATTGTACAAAACTGTTGGCTCAATTACAAGTACAAACATTTGTGTGAAATCTAAAGAAAAACAAAAAAATATTTGAAAACCAAAATATAGCTTATATTATTATTATTAAGTGTAATTGTATCAATTAATTTTGAGCAGTCGTGTAATTAAATTTTTTAGTAGATCTAGATTCTAGACTAACAATAAAAAAGCATTTTAAATAAATAAAAAAAAAAGAAAGGGAACAACCTGAATGGAACTTGTGGGCTAAAGCCTTCTTATTGGTGACCAGCGAAGAGTCTAGCAACATGGGAGATTGTATAGTTATCCATTGTTTCTATTTTATGTTTGTGTTCACTAAGCCTAAGACAGCATCCTAATATCAAGGGAACTAATTCAGCATTTACCACTTCAGTTGAGTAGTGTTTCTTTCCCTTGTTTGAGGTACGAAACAAATTAATTTTTTTTAAAAATTGATTCTTGTGATGTTAGGTAAAAGAAATAATTGTGCAAAACTTCAGCTTGATCTGAGATGAGATGTCGGAGAAATATGTGTACAAACTTTTGGCCAGACAGAGTGAGTTGATATAAGCTTTGAAAAAATATCTTACAACAAAAAAAAAAAGATTATAAGTTCCAATAGAAATCAAATGTACTAAAGAAAAACAGAATGAATCAGAACAAATGGAAAAATACAATCGCTAAGTTTCTCACAAATGAAACTTTCAGTAGTGACACTCCATGACAGAAATGTAATTTAATAATAGGCCACAATACACTGAACTATAACTTACAATACAAAAACACATCCTAATAAAACATTCAGAAAGTTAATAGCAGATTTCTTATTCCACATGCTGAGACAAATTCGTGAGTGTACTTTTTCTTTCTATCCTTAAAGTATGGAGCAAGTTGCCTGAATCAGCCAGAAAACCACTGACTTAGCAGAGTATAAAGTCTCTAATTAACATAGTGTGACTAAATTCCGTCGGCTTCCTTTATTTGTGGAGTGAAATGAGATGAAAGCCTGGGCATTAGCTTTGGTCGTGACTAAGGCGCCTACACGGCAGTTCTCGTCAATCCACGATATGTCCAAAGGTATGGCAGGTGCCTAAGGGTTACAGCTCCTGATTTCCACTTGGAGTTGACTTCTGATGCCTTTCCCGTGTTTGGATATAGATTCAAAGCAGCAGAGGTTTGGATAATGTTTTCTTTCTAGGCGGGTAGCCTGACAAGCCCATCCTGCACGAAGTTTATTGGTTCAGGCTTTAATTGCTCACATTTGCACCTTCTCCTGGTGACTAGATTACCAACAAGAACATACATTGTCTTTCTTGCTTTTGATGAAATGTAAGATAAAGTTGGTAAAATATTGACAGCAATTAAGGCTACATAACTTCTCTCTCGTCAATAACCCATACTGTTATACTGCCTTTAGGGCTACATAGCTTCTCTCATGTCTATAACCCATACTGTTATACTGCCATTAGGGAGACATAGCTTCTCTCTTGTCTATAACCCATACTGTTATACTGCCATTAGGGCTACATAGCTTCTCTCTTGTCTATAACCCATACTGTTATACTGCCATTAGGGCTACATAGTTTCTCTCTTGTCTATAACTCATACTGTTATACTGCCATTAGGGATACATAGCTTTTCTCTTGTCTATAACCCATACTGTTATACTGCCATTAGGGATACATAGCTTTTCTCTTTGTACTGCCTTTAGGGAAACATTACTTGTCTTGTTTTTCTTAAATATATTTTATCATCTTAATGAGTTTGAAAAAAAAAAAAAGCTGGGATTGTTGTCTTAATGGTTTCATGTTCGCACCGTGCCTATCCCAATCCCCCGCAGTTCTGCGGGTAAGTTTGGGCAATGATGTAATAAATATTCAAGTGTGAAGGAACATCTGAACATGTAGGACAGACAACTCTTATCATTTAGATTTAAATAAGAAGCAAAATATAAAAAAAGCTTTTAAAAAAATTTTCTAATGGGAAGAACTCATAACTTACAACTATATCTTTCAAGAATGTAGAAATATTTCCCTTTTTCGATATTAAACAAAGAATTACCAACAAATTGACTAGCTGAACACTTGTTTAACTTGATCCAAGAATTGGTGAGGGAGAAATAACGTGTATAATTATTTAAGGGGGCAAAACCTGACATATTTAAGCATATCTGTGAATAAAAAAGGATTCAATTCCATTGTTGGTATCAAACGGAATAATTAATAGCCAGTAATTAGTGTTCTAATTGGTTAGTTTTTAAAAATTGATTAATCTAGTCACAGTCTAGTGTCTACGCCAATGATTAATCATGCAAAGTTTGAAATCCTAGAATGGGTGCCGGAGAAATAAGGTGTTCAAACTTTTTACAAGACAGACAAAGACAAAGAGAGCTGCTATAAATTTTGTCAAAAGTGTGTCATTTTGAGGTAATCAATCATGTCATTTGTTTACTAAACCTCCAGTCAACAGACTAAACAGTTTTTAGTTGTTTGATGTAAGGATTTTATTAAGAAATATTTTCACCTTTGAGTGGGATTACGGAATAAATTTCTGTTCTAAATGGAGAGCCAACTTTTGTTTTTGTACTGGTGAGGAAAAAGGGGGTGGGCAAAATTAGGGCATTGTAAAATGGTGCATTAACACTCCTGGCAATCTGGTCACTTTTATGTAAAGTATAGGCCACTGTTTAAGCGCTAGAGAACACTTTCGGATCAGCTGCCCCCCCCCTCCAAATTGATGACAGGGTGTATTTTCGGGCCTCAAACGATCTCAGATTTGGGGGGAAAATTAACTAGAAATAGATATGGCTCTAAATGTGCTAAACATGTGTCTCACTCGACACAGCTCAAAGTGTGTTAAACACGTCTCGTGAACTTGGAAATGTATCAGCAAAATGGTCTTGTTCAGAAAATGTTCCAAAAAAACAAACAAAACAAAAACAAACAACAAATAAACAAAGTAAAGGTTTTTATATATATAACCCATTATTTATTTATTTATTATTGTAACATGTAACATTATATAATATATTATTCTAATTTTATAATAGCATACTGTACATTGTAATAGTTCTTTCTCGCTCACTAAACCATCTTTTTAAAATATTCTTTCAATGATTCATTCAATAACAACACACACACTCTCTCTCTCTCTATCTCTCTCTCACACACACAAATATTAAATCCTTACTGTAAAAAATTCTGCAACAAGAACTCAGTTGACCACTATCACTTATAATGTCAACAACATACTGCAACATTTCTAATAGTTTCTGCATCATAGTGTATATAGCCTGCTATAGATTTGCATGGTTATTCTGACATAAAAACATCATAGAATATCTTGTCAAGAGTTCGGATCGCATATCCACAAAATCAGTTAGTGGCACAAACTGATTTGCATAATTGTAACTAAACTCAAAATAGTTCATCAAGTCTCTCCTAAATCTCCGTTCTGACTTTATATATTTCACGACACAGCCGTCTGGAAACGTATACTGTACCTAGTTGTTTGTATAAGCTAATAATATAGGCATACACTTCTTCATTTAAAGCTAGTGTTCGTTGAACTGTTACTTCAAGAAAGGACTTTGCCGACGGTTTAAATTATGCCCCAAAATAGCTAAGAGCCTCACACAATAAACTTTGATGCACGTGTGTATGCGTCTGCGCAAACCTAGAGACTTTTCAACCTAGAAACGCCCATTTTCTTTGAGATACTCCCACTAGATCAAATCACGCCCCCCCCCCCCCCCAAAAAAAGGAGCATCAAACGATAAACTCGATGTGAATAGGTGCACGCATGCGACTTTAATTGTAAGAAGTAGAATTCTTTAGTTTTACCTCGTTCCTTATTACTGGGTCACAACCAATGTCTTTGAAAACACGCCCATTTCTCTTAAGACTAACCCTTTCCTAATGCCAGATCTAGTGTGAAGTTTTGCTCTGATACACTTTTTAACAAGTGTGGTCTATTTGTGGTTGAGGTGCATCTGCATATTACATAATCACACGGAGAAGTCTTGTTACCACTATAAAGCACAACGAACTGGTTGCGCTGTTTCCTGAGAATGATAAGAAAGTTGGCAACACATATTTCAGACAGCATCGGGTGCAGGATGTGTTCTCACTCTAGGCGATGTCCTTTTGTTAGTGCCGCAGCACTTTCTAAACATAAGTCTTGCGTCTTGCCTAAAGGTCTGGTTCAGGAAGCTGTATATTAACGGGTTAATGGCGTTGTTGATGAAGAAAGATTTCACGCAAAGCTTGTAGGCCAGTTCGCCGACTGGGCTGAGGTTCTCTTCCAAGTCCTTGATAACACTGCGCAGCACCATGACCGTGAGATAAGGGAGGAAACTCAAGATGTACGCGAGCGTTACTGCGAATAAAACCGTGGTTGTCTTCCCCACGCGGATCTGTCTTTGGGGTGCTTTTGGAACCGAGTTTTCTTTCGCGGCTTGTTTCCGTGATTTGTGTTGAGGGACATTGTCTTCTTCGTCCGTGGTGTCTAAGTTGTGCTGCTGGTGTGGTCGATGCTGTGTTGGGTTATAGTGGACTTGGCGGGTGAAGACTCTGGTTCTGCTAACTTGACGATTGGGGGGCTTGGAAAGTACCGCGCTGCCCACGAGATGAGCCACAGATGAATTTGATGTGACCAGTTCCATGACATTCTTGTTCGATTCAATTAACAACTGGCCAGTGCCCAAGGGCAGAACTGGAAAGTCTATTGAAGCCGTTTTAATATCAGCAAAACTCTGATTCGCCACACTTCCTTTCGTGACGTCATTTCCGTTAACGGCGACAGCTCCCGGCTTGGTGGGGAGATTTGGGTTAAACCAGCGTGACGTGTCTTCTAGCTTCCCACACTTGCCCTGGTGTCGTTTGACACTGCCGAAGATGGCGCTGGCCAGGGTGGTTGTGGATGTCGCATTGCTGACGTTTTCGCTGCCGGGGTGACTGTTGTTACCATTGCTGTTACCACTGGCTGTTGATCCACCGAGCCCTTCGTCTTGCTCTGAAGACAAATCGGAGCTT